TCGCGCATCCAGCACGCCTCTGCCCGTGCCCCCTGCCTCGGCGCGGGAAAGGAAACCAAGGGAGCTCAGCCCGGGAACAGAGGGCTGGCTTCGACCGAAAGCAAGAAGGCCCTCGGCGGAGGCGGCACTCTCACATCGAGCGCCACGCCGCCAGGAGCGAGCCGGCGCTCACGGGCGACCTCAGACGGCGAGCAGCCCGTTCGGCCCCCCTCGGTCCTACGTGCGGCCCCTCGCGGACGCGCCCTCCTGCCAGGGGTGCAGCCCCGCCGAAGGTGGCGCGCGAGCGAGCGTGCCTTGCACCAGAGGGCACGTGAGCAGGGGAAAGACAAGGCTGTCGCAGGATGCCTTCGGCAGCCGATCCAAGCCGTCACGGTCAGCCCCAGTCACTCACTGCACCGCCCTCAGGGCGAAGATAGTCAGCCCTCAGGGCGGTAGGGGCCTTTTTACATCTACGTGTAGCCCTCGCTGGCGCGGGGCCGCAGGAAGTGCCTCACCTGGCACGGCCTCCTCAAGAGCCCCGTGGCCCCTCACGAGCCAGGGCCGAACCTCAGAGCCTCAGGCCCCGACACGCACTCCAAGGCCGAGCCCAAACACGGGGTAGCAGGAGGGGCATGAACGGTCAGCATCGAAGCGGGAGACTGGATTGAATCGAAATGTGCATCGGATCGGGCAGCATCGATGACTGCCTTGCTGAAGCCTTGCGTCAAGCAGACGCGTGGGCAGGATTGATTGCACGAGTGGCACCCCAAGCGCAAAATCGCAACTAAAGTACAGAGCTGTGCTGGTCACAGGAGCCTAAGCATAGGGAAAGAAGATCCGCCAGCCCCCTTGTGGGGCCACCAGGTTGTAGGCCTAAGCTTCGCAGTTTCCTGTACCAGTTGCAGCTTCCAGTTTCCACTGTTACAGTTCTGCTTCTTGCTGCTTGCTGTTCCTTGTTACAGTTCTGCTTCTTGCTGCTTACTGTTCCTTGTTGATGGACCGCACGAGGGGGGAATGCCCAAAATGAGCATGTTTACCACGGCCAAAACGTGTTGTCTGAATTGCTGGGGTGGGAAAGAATTGACACCCCTCACGCAGATCGGCGGGGTCAGGGTGCAAAAACACAGGGGACTTGCCTCGGTGGCACCCCTCGACAGATCGGCGAGGTCAGGGTCCAAAAACACCAAGGATTTGCCACATTTCTGAAATTCGGTGGCACCCCTCTCTCAAATCGGTGGGGTCAGGATGCAAAAACAAAAGGGATTTGCAACATTTCTGAAATTTCCTGGCACCCCTCACGCAGATCGGCGGGGTCAGGGTCCAAAAACATAGGGGATTTGCCACATTTCTGAAATTCGGTGGCACCCGTGACGCAGATCCGTAGGGTCAGGGTCGAAAAACAAACAGGTCCCGACACTGCTTCACGGCGAAGCCAAAGCCTCATGACGTCGCCCTTCCATGGCCCATTCTCCGAGAGAGGGGGCCGGCAGCAGGTAGCGAAGCCCTTACGGATAAATGCACTCGGACTTCATAGCATATACCTTTTGTGCCCACTGTGGCTTCAGGCGCCCCTGGCCTCTACCATGAGGAGCCCAATGTGTTGGACCACCGCTGGCATCGCACACTGCTTGTTTCATTAGTGAAGCGTGGCTCTGCGAGGCAGCATTGCGAGATGGTTGAACCTGGCGGTCGCTCAGAGGTGCGGACAGTGACCTCGAGTCTGGTTTTCCAATACAAGTGCATCATATACCCTGGAAAAGCCAGACGGCGCCATTCCAAGGACTTTCCGCATGCATGTGCAGTGGAGAACACCAGGTCTACATTTGTCTGCGTTGAATAACCACAAAGAGTTCAACGAACATAGAAGCTTGCTGAGGACGCATGGCTTGTATATAGTACCTTTTAATGGCCAATTGCACAGTGGGCCAGATGACATGAAAAAGCAAGACATCAAATACTCGCACTGTACACCTGCTTCTCAAGATGCACCGCGGGGGGGTGCTAGGCATGGCACCCAGTTCGGGTTGAAAGCAAGAAGAGAAGAGAGGGGAAGGCGGATGGGAAGGAGAAGCAGAGGGACGAGGAGGGACGAGGGAGGGGGAGGTGGGGAGGGAGAAAGGAGGAGGGAGGGGCGAGGACGAGGAGAGGCGAGGTAGGGGAGGACGAGGAGGAGCGAGGGAGGAGGAGAAGTAGAAGGACGAGGAGGGACGAGGGACGGGGAGGCAGAGAGGGAGGAGGGAGAAGGGGCGGGGAGGAGCACCGTGCAGAGGAAGAGGCGAAGGGGCGAGGAAGGCAAAATAGGAAAAGAGAGGAAAGGGGGGGGAAGGGGGAGCGCCCCGGCCAGAAGGGGATTCGGGGGAGGACGGGGGAGGGGAACGCGAGAGTACCCGTCGGTCGGAAGAAGCAGGCAGAAGCACGACGCAGAAGGCGTTGAGAGTAGCTTGGGCTTCGGCCCGCCCCATGAAGAGGAGGGCAGAGGAAACACCGCTCGACTCTTGAAGTAGGAAGGCGCATCAAGTAGATTGGGACTTGGGCGTCCAAAAATAGATGCTGTCCACGACCGACGGGTAAACCCTGAATGCATCAACGACGCTGCAATACACCATCCAGTTCCAAGCCCCCTCCTGCAGTGCAAAAACTTTCACACACACACACACACACACACACACACTGACGAGTCCTACGGGAAGCGCCCCATTACGAGACGAACTCCCCATTGAAGAGATCAAAAGGAACCGATACCGCTACTCCCACTGTCTCCTGGGGTGGGCTCTGACCAGGATTTCGAGGCGAATCCAGCGGTGGCGACGAGGGCCGCCCAGGAGGCCCGACAAGGGGAAAACGAGGAGAGGGTAGAGATATGGGTACCTTTTCTTTCCTCCTCTGACCATCAGCCTGCCCGTCAGACAAGAGGGGCCCAACTTGGAAGACGAACCGCCATCCATCCTTCTGACGTTCATTAACAGCCTGGAACATATCCCTATCCCTAAGCTGGGCACCGCCTCATCACAGTGCCAATCTTAGGGATTCCCTTAGTTTCTCAGGGCGCATCCCTAAGATTGTCATCGCCTTTTGGCGTGTCGATCTCGGGTCGGGCGAAAGGGGGGGATAGCAAAGGGGGGGCTTGAGAATCAGCTCGCGTAGCTGGTTTTCCCGGCGCCTCCCAGCGCCGGAGGCGCCCGTGTATCGAGGAATGGGCCCCTCGGTCGGGCCGAAACCAGCTGCATGCAGCAAATTTCGTAACCCCCCCTTTCCCAATCCCCCCCTTTCGCCCGGCCCGAAACAAGAATGGCCCCACCCCGACCAAAGGGACACCGTGGCGCCGCGGGGCAGTCTGCCCCCTCTGGGTGGGGATGGGTGCCGTCTCCGTCGGGTCTCGGAGCGCCCAATGCCCGCCCAGAGGGGGTACGCTGGGAGAGCCAGCCTGCCCTGCCCTGGAGGAGGTGGGGATGGTTCCGACGATCGTAGGGGTAGGGGTAGGCTCGAGGCTGGTGAGGTCAAGACGGCCTCGAGGCAGGGCCGCAGCCGCTGGAGAGAGGCGTCCAGCGAAGGCCCCGGCTCGAGGAGAGAGCGGCCGCTTCCGTCCTCTTGCAACTGCCGCGCTGCTGGAAACGTCGGGTCATGGCCAGGGAGGGATTTTAAAGGAGATCCAGTCTCCTTCGGTCCTCCTCCCCAGGGGGGGGGGGCCAGGGGGAGTCCCTTTCCTCCTCCTTCTCCTCCTCCTCCTCCTCCTCCTGCCCCCCCTAATCGTCGTCGATGTCTTTCAGGGTCGGCGGCACCGGCCGTCAGGCCTTCACAACATCTAAGGACATCCCCGCTTCACCCAGGGGCACGCTTGTCATCCCGCGAAACTAGTGATGTAACGTGTGGCCCTAGTTCTGCCGAGTCTCAAGAAAGGCCTCCCTTTTGAGAGCGCCCCGCCCTCCACCATTGTAAACTTGAGTGAGGAAGACGCATGGGCTCGGCGTGAATGCGAGAGCCACATGCTAAAAGCGTTTAGCAGTACATCCGCGACACTGCTGGATGCACAAGACCAAAGTGCGCGGCGCCACCTCCAGCTGTGTAATGCTTGCTCCAGAGAAGCGCCCAGGCCATCCTGCCGACTGTGCCTGGTGGCACGACGAGGGGTTGCGTGTGAGAAAGAGGGATGGAGCGCGCCGATGAGGAGGGGCAGAAGGACGAGGATAAGGGCAATGAAGAGTCACGGGAGAGAAGGAGATGGAGGAGGAAAACGAAGATGAGGCGGGAAGGAGAAGGAGGAGGAGAAGGAGGAGGAGGAGAAGGAAGGAGGAGGAGGAGGAGGAGGAGGAGGAGGAGGAGGAGTCAGGAGGAGGCAGGAAGGGTGAGGCGGAGGGATTGGCAGCAGCAGAAGGGATGCGCGCCAGTTTCAAACAGGTGGTGGGAAAGAGGAGAGCCTACAGCCGACGCAGGATGGCCCAGCACGACCCAGGGCCTCCCAAAACGCGTCGCCAACAGCCCAACGACCTGCAGGACGCTTCCAGAGGGCACTCGCGATGGCTCCAGGAAATCCTCTGGAGAGCTGTCAGGAATGAGGCCGCCCAGGACGACCCGACGACCCCAAGGGCCCCTGGAAGGCCTCCCGGGTGCATCCCGAAGCACCCTGGAACGGTGCTGGCCCCGTGCAGGAGCCGCGCGGGAACCGCCCCTGCACGGCTCCTGCGTTCTGGACCTCAGAGAAAGCTCCCCGCAAGCACTCCTGCGATGTGAGCTGGCACGGCAGCAGAAGCCGCCTCGTCGGTCGGACATTTCCGCGTGACCGTGCACACGCGCTCCCTCGGCGGCCGGCGAGGGGTGGAAGGGAGAAGGAGAAGGCCTTCTCGAAGGCTCGGAAGTCCCACGGCCTTCCCCGAAGAAAGAGCAAACTTCCCACAAGGCGCGAGAGCTTCTAAGAAGTCCCGCCGCCTTCCGAGAAGGCCTTCTCCTTCTCGTTTCCCCCCCTCGCTCGCCGCCGACACGTACGCGGGCGAGACGCAGGGGAGAGCGCCAGGGCGTCGGGCCGCCTGGCGCTGGCGTCGTGTCGAAGGCGGGCCGCAGGAAGCTGGGGCGCTGCCGCCCATCGGGCGGGTGCTGGCGGCACTCTTTCTCGTCGGGGCCGAGAGAGGCGCTCTCGCCGTCATCACTCCTGACTCTCGGACGCGGAGAAAGACAATCAGTCTTTCGATCGCTGGCCCAGCCTCCGCAGTGATCCCCGCTGGACCCCAGATGGCTCCATCATGGCCCAGGAGCCTCGCACGGAAGTTCCTGAGAGGCCATGCGAACAAACGAACCAAGCTGCGCTCGCCATGGAGACACGCCTATAGTATGCCAGCCTTCTACGAAGGACAGGGGAACGGGATGCGGGATTTGCAAATCCCGATAAGGCAAAAGTAAAGGAAACAAATACTGATCCTGACGGCCCTCAGAAATCAGAAAATTGCCAGCTGGACGGAGGGAAACCCGACCGGCGCCAAACTGGCATTCTGCATAAAACCAGAAAACCACAGAAGACTCCGACAGGCCTCCAGGGAGCTCCCAGACAGCCCCGAGAGGGATCCAAACAAATGCCAGTAGAGGCGAGGGAATGCCCAAGAGTGTTCCAGGACTCAAACAAAAAATCACCAAGGGAAAGTCCCAGCACTGCCTAATAATGCCCCGCTTGTCCCGAACTGTCCGGACAGCTGCGCGGTGAGGCCACAGACCAGCTGGACACCCACACGGCCAAGGGCGCTCTGACGGGGAGCCTTCCGTGCTCGTCGTCACTTCGTTAAACAAGACGGCCTCGTTGATACTTCCGCGCTCATCCCATTTCCTGGCATCCTCTCTTTCCCTCCCCCAGATTATAATCATCGTTGCTCTCGCTCCATACTCCTCTTCTGCTTCACCTCCAGTAAGCATGGGCATGGTCACGGATGCGCTCTTCTGGGGGTTGGCGGAGTAGCGCAAGCCTCAAGGATCTGCCCACCGCCCACATGGTTTCGGCCCCCCTGTTTCTCCAAAACCAAGCTCCGCGCACTCCTTCGCCCGTTGCGCTGACGTCCCTCCTCGGGGCCCACGACGGAGCCAAAGACAAGCTCGATCGTCGCTCCCCGCTCGCTTTCGGAACCGATGCGTAGCCCCATGATGGCCACCGTATCCTTGGCCTCCAAGTGTATCCTTGGCCTCCAAGACCGACTCCTTCAGCCTCCGAGCGTGACTTCCATGTATACCTCCCCAAACTACACGTCGGAGACATGGCCATGAGCCTTAGCTTCTCTCCATAAACAAAGGATCATGTAAAGGGCCACGACTGCTTGAGAAGAACCCACTCCTCGACATCCTAATGTCAAATGTGTTGGTTGCGGGGTGCCGTGCCGTGCCTGCTCTTCGGCATCATGCGAGACGTGTGCCGCACCGCGCCGTGCTGCGCTTGGCCTTCAGAACAGGGTGCCGTGCCGCACTGTGCCGAGCCGTGCTTGGTCTTCAGAGTACGGATACGGTATATTTTCGTGCTGTGACAGCCCTGGCGTTGGAGTCTGAAACCACGTGGAGCGTCGGCTTCCCTGGGGACACGTGGAGCGTGGAGCGTGGAGCAGTGGAGGCGTGGAGCGTGGAGACAGTCCTGGCGCGGCGACAGTCCTTCCCCAGTCTGAACCGCGTGGAGCGTGGAGCGTGGCGACAGTCCTGGCGAAGGATCGGCGGCTTCCCACTCGCCAGCTCCTTCAGTATTGGCCGACTCTGGGCCACCCGCGGCGTTCCACCGTGAGCGCCCGCGGCGGGGTCTCGCGGCGCGTCGACGCTACGCGACCCTACCCCACGAGGGCACCTCCTCCCGAGAAGCTCCCGCGGCCGCCCGGGGGGGGGGCACAGAGGCCCGTCCAAGCCGCCCCCTGGGGCCCGAGCCTGCGGAGGGGTGGCCGTCACCGCCATCGCTGCAGAGGCTCGGGCCAAACGGCTGCTCGGCTGCCTCCTCCCTCTCGCGAGCTCCTCTGCGGCGGAATGAGGCGAAGAAAGAGCGGCAGAAGCATAAACTCTTGGCGCTCCGCGCGGACTTCGTGGATCTGCGCTGGGACCCCCTCCCTGTGGCGCGCGGAGCGCGCCGGGGGCGGCGACGGAGACGCCGCCAGGGGGGTCCCAGCGCAAATCCAGGAGATCCGCGCGTAGCGTGGAGAGGTTATGTATGTTTGTGTGGGTGGTTTCGTTCTTCGAGGAATCCGCTGCGCCGACCCTGGCCCCGCCGGCCTGCACATCCGTCGGAAGGAGTAGGTCGAAACATGAAGTAGGAAGGCATTGAAAGTAGATTGGGTGTCCGCCCACCCCTTGAGGAGGACGGAAAAGGCGAAGCAACTCGATCATTCAAGTAGGACAGCGTTCAAGTAGATTGGGATCTGGGACTCCAAAAATATCTACTTTCGACGAGTGGTCGGCACCAGGCTGCCACGCCGACCAAAGGCTCACTCCTCGACGCCAACCGCGCGGTCAGGGCTCCCCGATGCTGCAGCGAGAACGGAAGCGCGTGCGAGACTCCCGTGGGCCTCCCCCCGCTTCCCCAGCCTCATAAAACCCTGCGACCCTCCTCCTTTTATCGTTGTTACCACAACCACCGCCACAACCACCACCATCATAATCATCATCAGCACCATCGTCATCAGCAGCATCATAATCATCAGCAGCAGCAACAGTGTATCATCATCATCATCATCATCATCATCATCATCATCATCATCATCATCATCATCATCATCATCATCATCATCATCATCATCGTCATCATCATCATCATCATCATCATCATCATCATCATCATCATCACCGTCATCATCATCACCACCACCACCATGATCATCAGCATCATCATCCTCATCGTCATCATCATCCTCATCTCCATCATCATCATCATCAGCAGCATCATCATCATCGTCATCATCATCACCATCATCATCATTATCACCAAGATCAACTCATCATCACCATCATCATCACCACCACCACCGTTATCATCAGCATCATCATCAGCAGCATCATCATCACCACCATCATCCTCATCAGCATCATCATCATCAATCGTAATCACGATCATCAGCAGCATCAGCAGCATCATCATCATCAGTAACCTTGAATACCCTTGGGGCCATGGGGACATCTTCTTCTCAGGAGGAGGCGAGGCAACCGGGCTCACGATTGGCAACGGTGGAGACGTCGAGGCCGAACCTCCGTCACCCCTGGGAGAGAAAAGAAGCAAGGCTTAAAGGCAAAAGCGGGGCGGGAAAAGTGAACAAGGAACAGCGCGGGAGCTTGAGCCACAACGTTGTGCGGCCCCGCTCTTTCTAACTCCCACTGCCTGCGCTCCATCCAACAAGTGACCGTGAGCACCCTCGGGGCCACGGGGGCATTTTTTTCTTAGGAAGAGGTGACCGGCCAGGCTCACGAGCAGCAACGGTGGAATCGACGAGGCCGAGCCTCCGTCACCCGATCCCGACTGGTCAACTGGCTGAAGGCCGTATTCCAAAAATAAAACTCATGATTAAATGTTTGATGTTCCGTTAACGTCGACAAAACGTTGACCCTACATCCCACTGAGAATGGCAAGGTTGGCGACTGCGACAGCTCTCCAATGTATCCCTTGGTCTGTCCTGCCCGTCAGCTCATTTTGTGGTTTCTTGGACCGCGAACATTGCTTACCCTGGGGCCGGCACAAACATTCAATATCTACACATATCCCCGCATTCCACATCGCGATGCGGGTGCGTTTCTTCCAGTGTGTCCCGAGGTGGCACATATCGCAATCATGCACGACCCACGAGCTGCAGCGTAAAAGACTGCACAAATGCGGCGATCGCCACATCATAGAAGCACTGGCATTCACGGGCGCCGCAGGCGTATCATGGCAAGTAGCGAGGCGGATAACCCGGGTAGAGACGAGGTAGGAGTCGCTTCCAATATTGAGCTGGAGTTGTTGCGTAGGGGCAAGACCAGAGAGCCCCAAGACGTCATTGGCCCCCCGAATGGCAACTCGCCCAACACCAGACCAAGTGGCACGCGGCGTATCCAGCCAAACAGCGCCCACGACTCCGCCTCGGATCCGCCCTTCCACCGTGGAGTGGAAGTAGGATGCAGGTAGCCCTGAAGAGTGGCATCGGATGTCCAGGCTGAGAACCAGGAACCTCTTGGACGTCATAAAAAAAGCCAATGCCACCATCCCCGGCGAAAAACTCCAGGCAGATAACACGTCGGCTGTGGGTCGCGAGATTCTGGGCCCTCGTTAACAGATGTTGCCTACCTCGGGCACAACGCGGGGGCCTGGCCCAGCGAGATGATGGGGGGCCTCGATGCCTCGCGCTTCACGCCTGACTCCAACTGCACGGGCATGAGGAGCAGGCCGCGCCGGCTGCCGAACCCGCTCTGGATCGCTGGGCTGAAATTATACGAGAACCTCGCTCCCGGAGCTGAAGACGGACGGAGTCTGGTTGATCACGCGAAGCAGCTTGGTCTCATTCCCGAACCTCTCGAGCGACGCCTTCGTGGCCCAGCGGCCCCTGCGCATTACCAGCACGGACGTTCGCCCCTGCGTCGCCAGGCCCTCGGAGGCGCCTCCGCGACGGAGCTGGCCAGGGTGGGGGTCGAAATAGCCCAGCCCCTGGCCCTCGGCCACCGCTGCGAACACCTCGCGGCACAGCTCGCTGCTGAAGTTCCAGAACGTTCCGTCGGGGCGGCCGGCGGCCTTCAGCCCAAGGAGGGGCCCCCACAACCAGCGGCCGTCGATCGCGACGGCGTCGTCGAGGGGGCCCGCCCCCCCCCGGCGCGCCCGGGGAAGTTGCGTGCAAGACCAGGCCAATCATCGCGCGCCCTGCGCCGACCACTGGCACCGCTGCCACGATGCCCCTGCCGACGAGGGCCACAGCTTCATTGGGTCGAAGTTAACACGCATAAGGAACTGCCGCCACGATAGCCATCCATGGGAGACCCAGCACGATCATATGACCACCCCGCCCGCAATCGCCAGCGCCGCACGCGGGGGCAACAGAAGACGTGACCGGGCAGGCACGCGTCGACCCCAGCTGACAGCGCAACGCGCGGAACGGGGAAAAGCCACCCTGGTCTCCTTGCATAGCCTGGGGAACCGTAGGCCAGGGCGGCCATCAGCCGACTCGCCTCGTCGGCACCGTGGCCCTCTATGTACCTTGAGTTGAGGTACCCCACCGCGATGATGCTCAGCTCGCTCGAGCAGCTCCACGCCAGGATCAGCATCTGGCAATGCACCAAGAACAGCCGGAGCACCCTCTGGCACAGCGACACCGTGCCATGCTTCACCGCGATCCTCTCTAGCACACCCATCCACAAGAAAAGCTGAACCGCTCTCCTCTTTGGGGGCGGACTTTCGAGCTCGGGTGGATCGCTCCTTCTTGAGCTTGCCCGCCCTGGCCGAAGCACGTCGCTGGCGAGATGCCGCCAACGCGGCCCTGGCACGGGGCATGCAAGCTCTCGGGCTCGGAGTGGAGCTGGAATTGGAAGACGGCTGGAGCCTGGCACTGGACCTCGAGCCATGATGGACCTGCAAAGAACCCGACTTGGCCCCGGGACCCCTCGCTGGCTGGACCACGCTCGGACGGAGCCCATCTCGCGCACAGGCGGGTACCAGTGGCCGATGACAGGGCCGCTCCGTCGGAAGGGGCGCAGGAGGCAGGACGAGCGAGCACAGCCCTTGACCGCTCAAAAGCGGAGAGATCGGTTATCCACAGTAGCCAACACTCTCGATCCCCGCGCGCTTCCACCCCTGAGGATGCATCGGTATCCCAGGACCAGTGCGTCACCCTCTACCTCGAAAATATTTGAACGAGGCCTGACTCTTTATTACCATGACAGTTTTCTAGGTCTTGTCATCCATAAAAAGTCCCCTGTCGATCCCATCGAAAGTAGCCGCCAAATCCTCGATGGCTGTTCCAGGGCTGCCCGAAATACTCGGACATGCCCCACCAGACCCCGAAGCCCCGTTGGAAGTGCCGAAATCGAACCCTTGGACCTCGAAAACCCTGGCTGCCGCCGTTGCCGTCGCCGCCGTCGGTAGCATTCTGGGATTGCCCATAAGTCGGTTGCCGCCGCCACTGCCTTTGGGGTCGTCGCCGTCATAATCGGAACTGGTGGGGCCCGGCAATTGCGGGCCCGGTCGGGGTCCGGAAGGTCGAGGGGCACGCGATTCCGCGCGTCGATGCACTGTTCGACTTTGAATCTCCATGTTTCGGACATCCTGCCGAGCGCGCCGGCGCAAGTAGCTTCAGACTGCCGCGCGCACGCACCTAGACCAAACGTTGCGGCGCGGCGTAGCCAGCGCAGTCGGACGCCAGCGGGCGGGCCAACGTACATTCAACAGCGGCAGTCGACACCTGATAGGCGGGCCAAATCTCCACGACCCTAGACCCGATTATCGTCGCAAAAGCGTAGCACCCTGCAAAACAATGCAAACCACGCGTCGGATGAGCCCAGCCCAAGTGACATGCCCCAGGAGAGCCCGAAAAAGGTGCCCACTGCAGCGCCCCCGTCGCACAAGGGCCTCGTTAGCAAAGTGCAGTTACCACAGGTTGCGATGCTCAATGGAGAGACCGTCGCCTCCGGCGAGTTGGAGGCCGAGAAAACTTGAATCATGGACGCCGTCCTCCACCTCATGAGAGCAAGACCCATGTGCTCCAAAACTTTACGAGTACCCCCCAAGGAATTATCAGCCCGTCGCTTGTTTGTCCCGCTAGTGAAAGCATTTCACACGCACCCCGCGACCGCAACACTGCCCCCCTGGATCACCACGGCAGGTAGCCCATTGAACAACGCCAGGGAGGTAGGGATGTCGACAGACGAAATGGCACGTCGGACCACACCCTGTCAAAGGAGCAACGACCAAGACCACCCCATTGGGAGCACAGACAGCCGAGGATCGATGATCGCATCAGGATGGAGGCTCTGCCC